TAGGATCGTTCAGAGTATACTGTACAGGGTGGCGCCTCCCTCTATATGCCGCGGAAGCTCAAAGGAGAACGGTAGTTTATATCGAAATGAAATTTTGGTAGCATATGTAGGTTAATTGAAAGCATTTTATAAAAATATATAGAATTATACAGGGTGTCCGCAAAAAAAGTTACACATCAAAGTTTTTTCTAATGGAACACCCTATATATTAATTGATTTTCGGACTCTAGGAAAAAAATAAAGGTGAGTTTTATTAAAGAAGCATATCCCTAAAATTTAAGGATTTTGACATATTTCACATTTTGTGAAAATGAAGAGTAAATTTTAAATTTTGATAACAGCTACTTAAATTTTAGTTGACCTTGTATAGCCTCATATTTAATTACAGTAACCATTGTATGTTAAACCAAATTGAAATTTGACTCGAAAAGTTATACAGGGTGAGACAAAATTAATATGGAACATTAGTCACTTTTAAAAGCACAAGTTACACCTTTATTTTAAATGGAACACCCAGTATATTTTTCCGGTGTTCAATGGGGAATTTATATATATTCAAAATATTATTAAGGTTGTCTACCCCTCAGACAAAGATTTTCCTAGATATTTTAATTTTCATGATTTTGCGTCAGTAGATTTTTATTATTTGAAAAATCTAGGGTGGCTGTGTGATATACCTTTTGTTAATTTAAAAAAAATTAAAAATTGTAGAGTAAAATACTCAACGGTAATAAAAAGATACACGTTTAAAACATATTTTAATCATTACAGAATTAAAACTAGATATAAACCAATAATTATGTGGCAAAAATTAGCTAGATGAAATCAAATGCTCAAAATGCTTCCTTTTTTGTTAACTGCATAAAATAATTGTCTTTTCAAAAGGATCTTTTCATTCTAAAAGGAATATGTGGAGTTCTACCTGCTACAATAACTTCCCTCATGTTGTCGACAATAATAGCTGGTCAAGTTTTTTAAACACTGCCTTTAACATATCCCCATAAAAAAATCCAGACTAGATAAAATCAGGAGCATTTCAGTATTTTATAGCAAACTGCATTCACCAACTAATAGAATCATATCAATTCTCTCTGATGTAGGATAAGTTTGCATTTTCGGCGAATTTCTGAGAATTTTTTTTGTTTTAACTGACACAAAATGATAACTAGTTGTTAAAGTTAGACTAATTAGACAGATATGTTGAAGTAATGGTACAGCCACCCTAGATTTTATCAAATATAAAGATCTACTCAAATCAAATCATGTAAATGAAAATATCTAGGAAAATCTTTGTTTGAGGGGCAACCTTAATAGTATTTTGAAGACTTGAATTCTCCATTGAATCTCGGAATAATATACTGGGTGTTCTATTTAACATAAAAGAATAATGTTCTTTTAAAGGTGACCAATGTTCAATATTAATTTTGTCTAACCCTGTATAACTTTTTGGATCAAGTTTTAATTTGATTTAAAGTACAATAGTTAATTTAACTACATATTAGGCTATACCGAGTAAATTCCAGTTTAGGTAGCTTTTATTGTAATTTAAAAATTGTTCTTTATTTCTAGAAAATGTTAAATATGTCAAAACCCTTACATTTTAGTCATATACTTCTCTTATAAAGCTTACCTTTATTTTTCTCCCAGAATCCGAAAATCAATCAATATATAGGGTGTTCCATTACAAAAAACACAACTTTGATATGTAACTCTTTTTGGGGACACTCTCATCAGACAGCAGTACATCTCGGTTGAGTTTTTTTTTTCATACATTAATACTGGGAATATTTATTGTTTACAAGCGCATTTTAAAATAGTTAACACGAATTCTGTACTAAATATAAAGCTTAACGATTAAATCTTGGCGTAAAATTTCATTTTCACCTTAAACCTATATCTTCTTTCATGCCCTAGCTGTACCTAGAAGAATACAATAATGTTCTGTAAGGTGTGTTAAGCGCTAAACGCCTATTGTATGTGCAAACTTGCTAAAACGGCGTGCCGCACGCTGGAATTATGAAGATATTTTACTTAATGGAGCTTCCGCGCTATTTACAATATGTCTGGCGGTGCATGTGTGTGTACAGAAACGCAAGACGTGTTAATGGTGTGCAGTCGCGGTTGCAGTTTCTTTAGTATTAATAGAATCATAATAGAATGCACTGAATGCAGATGTTGCGGATGGTATAGAAAACCTTAATTATGAAACAACGAATTCTAATTGTTAAGCTTCATTCAGAACCTAGAAATTAGTAAAATAAATTACTGGTTTCAAATAGCGTAGAAGTTTGTTCCTCTAAATTCAATGTACCTAACCAAATTGAAATTTTGAAAACCGAAAAGTTATGTGTTACAGGGTGAGACAAAATTAATAGGGAACATTAGTCACTTTTAAAAGCAAATTACTCCTTTTAAATGGAACACCCAGCATATTTTTCCGCTGTTCAATGGGAAATATATATATCTTGAAAATATTATTAAGGTTGTCTACCCCTCAGACAAAGATTTTCTTAGATATTTTAATTTTTATGATTTTGCGTCTATTGCGTATAGATCTTTATTATTTGAAAAATCTAGGGTGGCTGTGTGATATGCCTTTTGTTAATTTAACAAAAATTAAAAATTGTAGAGTAAAATACTCAACGGTAATAAAAAGATACACGTTTAAAACATATTTTAATCATTACAGAATTAAAACTAGATATAAAGCTCTAATTATGTGACAAAAATTAGCTAGATGAAATCAAATGCTCAAAATGCTTTCTTTCCTGTTAACTGCATAAAATGATTGTCTTTTCAAAAGGATCTTTTCATTCTAAAAGGAATATGTGGAGTTCTTACAAGTAGCAAATACCGCATGTTCGAAAAAAAAACGGCGTCCAGTTGGCTGGTAAATGAAGATCTCGATGACATTTTCCATATAAATTTACATATAAAATGACAGTGATGTTCATTTCATAGCCATCGCTAACGCCGTTTTTTATCATACAGTCTAAATAAGCTTTTAGATCGTTTTATACCTTCAGTCTGTTTAAAACATTCACTCTAAGAGTGTTGTTAACAAAAATCATTCCAACTCTAGAAACAAAGAATCATCAGAAACATTAATAGCTGCAGCAGTAAGGGTAAGGTTCGACTAACAGTAACCACATTGTTGTATGTTAGTAATAGTAAATTCTAATTGTAAAAGGTTATTTATGACTGAGAAGTAATAAAAAAACGGGTGTTTATGAGGCAGTTTTATGGAGGTTTATCGTTAAATCTTTATTAACTCTTACTCGAGTGCTGCTAACCAATCAACACTATTTAGAGTCATGAATTCGTTGTAACTACTAAACTAACTATTTAAAGACAGACAGAGTTATATATACAGTGTAGCTCACAAGTAAAAAAAAATAAAGGTAGTTGAAAAAGTGTGAATTATACTCATTTGCCTTTGTGAGTAATATTAAGATTTGTACTGCATGTTATGTTATAAATTACAACAGAATTGAATTGTCCTTTAAAACTTTGAGCATTTTATTAGTAACTACAAGGTTTTGTTTTGGCATTAATAAATTATTAATTTTATTGTTAAAATTTAATATTGTGCGTTATACCGTGCTGGCAACTGTTACTTTTGGGTCGGCATTTACATGCGTGGAAGTAAATCGCATAGGGATCTTATTAAGTCGGAGTGAGAGAAATGCGACCGACTGACCCGACGCGCGACGGTGTGCTGTTGCGGCGTTGCCGATACGCCTTTCCCTATCAAGTAAAGTAAAATCACGATCGCAAACCGCTTATTTTTAAAGGACTTTTTTTCAAGAGATAACTAGATAAAATCATTAGACATGTTTCTGAGCATCTGAAATGGAATTATAAGGATATCGTTAGGGTGTCATTTTTTTATAACGAGAAAACGTCAGTAATCGCGATAATTTAAAAACTCAACTTTTTAACACCTAACAGGCCATAACTCAAGAACAACTTTAGATATTGAAACTTTTTTTTATTTTCAAGATAGGATATTTTACAATATGTTTACATAAGAAAAATTTGATAAGGTCGTTTTTTCCATTCAAAAATTGTAAACAATCCATCTATTTACTTCTAGAGCATAGCAATTTTCAGCAATCGTGTAATTTTTTTATTGATAAAGATTTTCACATACTGTTTACAAAGAAAATACATCAGAAATATTAACAAAGTTCTTGAAAAAACTACAATCTATTATTTCTAATAGATTTCGAGATATCAATTTTTGAATTCAGAGTTCTAATAGCGCGACCACTATCGAACACACACTCAATTCCACTTATTTTTACCAAAAATGCAAGTGTTTCTAGCTTGCACTTAAAAAAATTTAAGCTATAGGGAAAATTACAACTACTCATTAATGAATAAACAAATTAAGTATCACGAGACGTAATTAAATCGTGAAGCTGAACACATGACGTACACCTTTTCCTAGAACTTTAAGTACTGAGAGGTATTGATTGGGTCGACCGGTCAACTGCGACAAATCTGCTTATCCCCTTCCACGTCTCTTAGCGATGTGCACAGTTTCTCAGTTTATTTCATACCTTTGGCAATGTGTTTACTGTTCTCTCTTTGTTCAGTACATTATAAACGCATTGTACTCTTCTTACATACGGATATCTCGACCCAAGACTGACCTTTGCCAGCCCTTAGAATACCGATAGTTCCAAACCAATTTAAGCGTTGCATATACAATTGGCATGAGCTAAGTCTATCCATGGAGTCAGGGAAGATTTCGGTAGATATCATTTAAAAAAATGACAGAAAATCCAATTTACTTGTGAACTAAAATGACAGATCTAATCATTAGATATACTTGTATTGGTAAAGCGCACGTAATCAAAACAACATAAATGACAAGTCCATCGCGGACATCTTAGAAATCCGGACATATGAGAACTCTACGTTTCTCATAAGCTATCTTTCTAATATTTAGATGCGTTTTAATAGGAATGTTAATTCTTTTTATTATTTTTTAGGTGGGAACTGATGAAATAAAACTAAACAACACGACATCGACAACAGTGCTTTAAAAAGTGTGTTAGTGATGTTCGATAGTGACTAGACTTCAACGAAAAACTTCAGAAGAAACAAACAGTCATGTTGCTGTGTGGCAAAATGAGAGTCTTTCTTCCAATATTGATAGCCTTCGTGATTGTGAAAGGTAAGTTCCAATGGGCTTGTCTTACGTTTTTTTTATTTAACCATTCGAAACTGCAACTAAATGATTTTATTTATGACTTATGACTGTTGCCTTATCTGCACATAACCAATGACATTACCCCATAGTTTTATAAGAATCCACCGGATTTATAAGAAGAAATTATATTGCTACACTGAAAAAATTAAATGCTTTAATGGCAAATGATTCCGCGCATTTGCCGTTTTAGCTTTTTTGCCAACTAAGACTCCTTAAATTCAATAGCACTGCTTTTGTGCTAAACAAAACCACTGCAATTGGGGTAATTTCACCATGCATTTGCCTTGTTGTGCCTGTCAGGCAAATGAATTACTTTTACGTCAAATTTAAGAGTTTCAAATTAAAATCCATGCTTTTTTGGCAAATCGGATTTTAGCAGAAAAAAATTGCATTTGGGCCAAATTTTGCGTGGATTCAACTTACTCCGTTCATTGGAATTATATGCTTTTATCTCCACTGTCAAACTTTTCAGCTGAAAGCCATGCTTTTGGTAGCAAGTCGGCGCTCTTGGCATAAGTAGCCATTGTTGCCTATATTTGCATCGTGACGCGATCAACCTGTTACGTGCGTGTTAGTATTAGTATCATCGGTCCCTTTAAACAACCAGCAAATGGTGCGTGTTTTGTCGACGAATATGAGCAGCGTGGAAGAATTTTTGGCCAAGTAGCGCCTAGAACATTTGCAAGATACGTAGAAACAATAAGGCGTTGTTTGATTTTATTTATGCATGATTTCCTAAGAGAATTTATATAAAAACAAATAAACAATGGGTGGGAATGAACAAAGATAACGTGGTAAAAGGTTTTGCTTACATTTCTGGAAATAAACTTATACACAGTTTATAAACAACAAAGAGAGTGCAAAGAAGCATTTACTATTTACTTTGTTTTTTTTTCATATTTCACCCATTGTTGGTTGTACTTTTGACTATTCAATCACGCCATAGAATATTAAAAAAATATGATGCAATATAAAGCCGAGATCTACGATTGGGTTATAGATGATTTTTACATAAATTCACCTTGGTAGCACAGTATAATATTATTATGGCACTGTGTTGGTTATAGTATATTTGTTTAGCGAAATAATAAAGGTATCTTAGAAAATTCGTGATTTCACCAGAAAGAAGTAGAGACAATAAGTTGGTGATGGACATCCATCTTTTTTCACCTGAAATCCTTCGTGCCCTTAGGTTAAATGCGCGGGCATTTGTAGCAAATGCTAAATATTTCATTACAAATTAGGCCAACATTTTTTTATCATTTCTTGTTCATATTTTCTATTGTGAATGTCTTGTTGGTAAAACATGCTTTGCTTTCTTGCATAGCAAAAAATCGACGGAATCGATGTAATAAAGTTCCTGTCACAAGAAATGAGCATTCATCATCAACTGTCTTGATGGACAAATATGTATTCAGACAAAGTTACTTATTTTATTTGGTGATATATATATTAGTTTTGTTTATTTTAAATATGAAACTTAAAATGTTCTTTTATTTTTAGCATACGTTATCTTTAAAAAAAAGTTTTATTTTTGTTAAACAAAGATACATACAAATATGCAATAAAAATATTTTCAAAATTTTGTATATTATTTTTAAATTTACCCTAATCCGAATGATACAAAGTCAATTTTTATTTCAAATATATTTGCTGCAAATAATTGATATTTTTGTGTACTTAATTAGGTATAAATAACGCCACATACACTTAAATAACACTTATTTGCAAATATATTTGAAAAAAAATTTGACCGTGTATGATTCGGGTTAAGGTGAATTTTTGCTACAAATTCCCAGTGCTTTAGTTACAAAAACCAAAGTGCCTTTGTTACAGATTTGCAATGATTTTGTCGCAAATTCTCACTGTGTTATTACAAATTCGAAGTACTTTTATCACAAATTCGTAGTGTTTTATAACAAATCCGAAGTGCTTTTATCGCAAATTCGTAGTACTTCATAAAAAAGTTGAAGTGCTTCTGCCGTAAATTCGACTTTTGATAATGATCTTTGAAAATTTTGGTATGGAGTTATGCAAATCGCAATACTTTCAAGATAAGGCTGTTGCCTTTGCAACCAGCGATTCTAAAGCGTTTGTCCCAAATACATCTTGAAATTACCCTAATTGAACCATGCATTTGGCATATATTAAGAATGGCGAAATTGGTTTAAGTGCGTTCGTCCTTGCCACCGATAGATTTGTTTTTTCAGTGTAATCCATTACAGTTTTTACTTTAACAGATTCCCGCATCTCGTATTCTTGTCTATAAAAGATCGGTCGACATCAGTATTTTATTCACAAGATGTTATTTCTGAACCTCAAAAATTAAAAAAATATACATTGTCGTTTGTCGAGACAAATGGAATGAAACAAACAGTCATATTTCTGTGTTGAAAAATAAGACTCATTCTTCTAATATTGATTACTCTCGTGGTTGTGAAAGGTAAGTTCCAATTCGCCATGCTCTAGTTTTGCTCAGTGTTTGATTATGTTTCGAGGGGAAACTTTGGTAGAAACTAACGTAAACCCTGGCTGTTTCTTGTCGGGAAACTCTCAGGTTGGCTTTAATAAACCGCCGCGCCGCGTTCTTACTATGTGCGCCAGAACTAAGAACTAGACCGAACTATAGGGACAACTTCAATTTATTATTTAAATGACCGGATTTACTGGATGTGCTGCAAAACATTCGTGTTTCTATATCAATGAGATGAAAATTTTAGTATACTATATGTTTTAGTGCTTTTTTTTCAATAAAATATCTTAGATCTAGACAAAATAGCATATATATATATATATATATATATATATATATATATATATATATATATATATATATATATATATATATATATATATATATTTAAATGTGTGGTAAACTAACTATATACTATACGACGCTGTATTCATTTCAGTTTTTGCTGGTTTAAAATAGTTAATCCTGATTATATTTTCCAAATTTCCATCCCGTTTTAGAGAAAAATAAAGAAATATGAAAATACAGGGTGCAACAAATTCGAGGTCGTACCTCGAATTGGTGTCTCGGAAATTGGTGTCTCGGAAACCGTAATAGACACGAACATGCTTAAATTGGGGCAAAGTTGATCCTTGGGATGTTCACCAAGATGCCAAAAAAGTTTTAAAAATATCAAGAATTCCTGAGTTTTTTCGAAAAAACGGATTTTTTGAAAATCAATTTAATTTTTTTCTGTCGTTACTTTTTAGAAAATCAAAAAACCAATTGCACATTCTCATAGCCACTTTATTAGGGCTATCTGATAGTATTTTTAGATTTTCAAATAAACTGATAATTTGTGAAATACAGAGGCTAACTTAATTTTTCTAAATACGGACCTGCAGTTGTTATTTGAAGTTTTGAAAGAACTCGGTCTCCAGAGTACAATGATATGCCACACTTGATATTTTTTTTGTTCTGGGTACCTTAACAAGAACAAAATTATTTAATTATTATTTAAAATATTTTAAGTCCGACTCGGTTTTTTTTAATTATTTAATCTGATAATATTCATCGCAAAAATATTGATCAGTACTAATTAACATTGAATAAGGAAAATCGAGCCAATTGAAAGATTCAAATAAATAATATCCAGGTCAGCAATTTAAGAATATTATTTTTAACTTTTTTTATTATGAATTTGAATATTAATCGTAGTTATTATAAGTAAAACAACTTCTACAAACTAGTTTCTAATGCTCTACATGTTCGAAAGGGTTACCACCATCCCTAATGTACAAATTTATATTTCGTTCAATCTTATTTATAACTTTGAACGTATCTTCTTATACTTGCAAATGCATTTTGTATTTTTTATTGTAAGTTATCCCCACCCATCCTTGGGAAATTTTTGGGAAACAGATTTGTGTGCCTGGAAACGTTCTATCCTTCTTTAATCTCTCTATAATTAGTGTAAATTTTTGACAAGTTTTATGCCAATTTTTAGTAAATGAGAGATTGCCCTCACTAAAAATTACCATTGATTGTCATTTCCCAGCTGTGTTGTCCCTTAGTAGATTACAAAAAAGTGCGGATCCTTATGTTTTCATGGTATATAACAATCATATTTTTTATGATATTTATTAATGTGTGTTTTAAATATAAATAATTAAAATAAATCGCCATGCAAGGCTATGACTATTACACAGCCTTACATGACGATTTATTTTTGTTAAGTTTTGGTTTCCAAAAACCACATTACGCGATAAAAATAGCGCTTCCGTCAACTCTCCGAATAACTTTGACTAACCAAATGTTACGCGTATTTAGGGGACCACATGTATTTATTCTTCTCAGCCGTCAAGAATTTCTGCCTAATTAAAAGATAATTGGATTTCCGATACACACAACAAAGATTTCCTTCTTCTTTCCTCGTTTCCCATGTACGTGCAGACCCTCTTCAAGAAATGAAATATATACGATCTGAGCCAGATGCGGTGCCAGATTTTTTTTAGTTAAATCATTATTTATTTTTGTCCTATAGTTTTTACTGAGCTTGATGATTTTTTAGAAATACGATCGAAAAAATAATAAATTTTACTTAAAAAAGGTATTAAATTGTATCTTTAAATGTCAATTTTTAGTAAATAACGTCTAGAGATTGACCTAGCCAAAATTGGTCATCGGCCCCAGCCGGCTTTCATATTGTTTTTTTCTTCAAAAAAAATCTTGTAATTCGATTGAAATAATATGCTATTGAAAAAAACCGGCGTCATAGTAGGTCTTGAAATGACAATCGATGATTATTTCTGTAACTAATAAAAAATAAAACTTTTTCTTTACTCCCTAATAATAATTTGTTTGGTTTCACTTCGTTCGAAATAACAATTTATTATTATAATCAATTAAAAATTAACGTACAAAATCTTCTATATTTAATTAGTATAAATATCTGCACCATACTAACTATATACAGATATAAATAATTACAGGCATTTTAAATTTAACGTTA